GGCCAAGCGCGATCCCGCTCTTGGGGGCAGGCCTGAGGCCGCTACCGCGCACGCTCGGGCAGGACAAGCGCGATTCCGTTGGTCAGGGGGCGGGCCTGAGGCTGCTACCGCGCATGCTCGGGCAGGACAAGCGCGATCCCGTTGGTCAGGGGGCAGGCCTGAGGCCGCTACTGCGCATGCTCGCCCGCTTTGCCCCGCCCCTGGGGTACATAAACAGGATACACGTGGGCCTGGGAAGTCAGGGCCAGAGTCAAAAGTGCACCACAGAAAAGTGAAAAAAAAAGTCATGAAAAGGAAGCAAAACGCTTAAAAAATATATCGAAGCAGTCAGTCCAAAGACAATTGCAAATAATGATCATAAGGGATGGAGAAATGTCGCTCACAGAGGGCAGGTGTGGTCTGGGTGGGACCTCGTGGCCCGGGCCTACCCTAGAGCCGTGCTCCTTTGCAATGGCTGCTTTTCTACAGATTCTTGCATTAAAGAATGTGTTCAGCTAGTGCAATGGACAATTTCCAAGGGGAGAGGCAGTATCTGATAGTTAAAAGGATACTTGACTTTAAAACTTGGTTTCACCATTTCTAGGCTGTGTGAGCCTAATCTAGTTAATATAGACAAACATCTGGGTACAATATTGGCCTACAATGAGTATTATGTCCGCATTGGATGTAACTGTTTCCAGTGATTTGGTTAGTTCGTTTGTAGATGAGTTTAGAATTACAAAAATTCAGTATTCATCAGGACTTAGAATATAATGGTCATTCTTTTTCATTAGTTTTTTTTTTTTTAACCCTAGGATGAATTAACATACAACCCTTAATAAAAATTATTCCCTATTTTTTTCAGCTGGTATGTATAATATTTAATCAAAGTACAAAATTATAATAAGAACAGCATGGAACAAACACAACTGACTCTTGGTAAGCATACAACTGGTGGAGCAGAAGTATGCTGGTGTCCCAGGGTATTCTATCTATGAGCATTCAGTGCACATGGGCATCAATCAGTATGTGATGGGAGTGGGTTGAGGTGGGGGTGGGGGGAATAGCATGATAGGGACAAGTATTTGTTGAGGTGTGTGTTTTGTTAATCCTCACCCGAGGAGGATAGCAACTGGGACCCTTCAGTCCTCTGGCCAACGCTCTATCCAGTGAGCCAAATTAGCTAGGGCAGGGAGAAGTATTTGTAATAATCACCATTCTCATCTCTTTTGGCCTCTTACTATCCATTATTGTTCCAAAGCAGAAGTATTAGATGTATTAGTTTTCTAGAGCCGCTGTAACAAATACCACAAACTAGGTGACTTAAAACAACAGAGATTTATACTCTCACAGTTCTAGAGACTAGAACTTCAAAATCCAGGCATAGGCTGGGTTCGTGGTTCCTTCTGGAAGTTCAGAGGGAGCATCTGTCTATGCCCCTCTCTTAGCTTCTGATGATTGTTGGCAATCCATGGCATTCCTTGGCTTGTAGACACATCACTCCAATCTCTGCCTCTATCTTCACATAGTGCTTTACCTTCTCTTCTATTTTTAAGATGAAAAGTTTGGTGTTTTAACAGATGAATATGGAGTTTGAACCCAGGCTCTGCTTTTTTTTTTTATCTTGGGCAAGTCCACCTAACACCCCTGAGCTTCCATTTCAAAGAAAACAGAAACAATAATATCTTTCTCAGGACCATTGTGATTGAGTTATATTTCATAAGGTGTAATATAAATGGTGGCCATTAGAATTAAGCTGAGTCAATACAGCAGCCAGTTTTTCTCTCTTGAGTTTGTATATTTTAGTATAATAAAGTGCAAGGCCTATACCATAGAAATTTAGGGACCAAAAAAAAAAGATATCAATCATTATAAAATTGATTTTCATTCAGAGAATTCTCAATTTCTGAGTAAGATGTTAAGAGACTTAGGTCCTCAGTCTACTTTCCTGTGCTTTCTGTCTTTTGTTTACTCTTTCTCTAAGAATAAAGTGGATAGATATGATTAGAGTTAGTGGAGCCAGAGAAACACTTATTGTTTTCCCAGGTATCAAGTACAATAAAGTTCATTCTATATTAATAGTTAAAAACTCATTTGCAATGCTATCAACAGGCAATAATAATAACTGGTTCATGCAGTGTAAAGAGTAAAGCATACTCTGGCCAGTGTGGCTCAGTTGGTTGGCC